AGCAAAGTAAAGCAAGTGCTACGGTCAGCATTGTCCCATGCCTCATATTCATGGACAAGTTCTTCAGCAGAACCTTGTTAACGTTTTTGCTTAATGGTAGTTAGGTCTTCAAGTGTACATTGTTCATTTAGATGGTATTGCATTTGCCTATGCCACATAGGAAAATTGCTCCCATTCAACTTTTCACATCTAGTGAGATCCGCAATCACATTTTTAGAAGTCATTATTAGTCAAAACAATAAAATTACACCAATTAATATGGATGTCACATGGTTTATTTGATACATTATGGCACTTATATTATCATTTTTACGCTTGCTAATTGTCTAGCTACTTGAAAAAACTTGACCTTTAAAATTCTTAATATGAAAATTTCACGTGGCCACATTGAACTCTTGCTTGTAATCAATATCAAGTTTCTTTCTTGGATCTAGTATTTCAAATACCTCACAATTTGTAAGTGATACACCTTTTTAGATGCACTCCCACAAAAAATGCTCTTTTTATGCGACATTGACATACCAAAAAAATAAATAAATAAAGTCCACCTTGCACCGCTTAGCATATGAAGCCTATCAAAATTAGTTAGCCATGATCCTCATGGTCTAGGATGCCTCAACTTGCATAATTCATGCATAAGGCCAATACGACTATGAAGATTGCATAATGCACATGCTTATGGTTTTAATATAACCATTATGTGCACTTTGCAATATCATAGGCCAACCACAACCAAGCCTTCACAAGTAAGGCGGGAATGGTTATGCGAGCACAATTAGGAACACAGCTTCACGATGGCTCTGATACCTATGTTGAAAAAAATACAGTCTAACTGTCGAAGCAGAAACAAAATAAAATAATCGAAAATCTGGTATCATACCTGAGTGCTCGCACAACAATTTTGGTGAACAAATGTGGAGAGGAATGATCAACTCACGTATGCACGTTCGACAACTACTAGAGTTATCAAAATCAATTACACACCGTAAATCCTGAGCGAGGTGGAAACTCACGAACACTCCAATAGATGCGATAGGAGCAATCCAAACTCGACTCTCACACAACTATTTATCACTCAGGGCTAGATCTCTAATTAGATCTCAAATAGGAGGGGGATTGTACTCTCTCGCACATTTTTTCTCTATCTCTCAAGAGGAGCTCTCACACCTTTCTTGTGTGTGTTGTAGTGTATTTGTAGACCTCCACCCCTCCCTTTTTTATAATGAGAGAAAGTACCCTCTCATGAAGAGGTGTAACCTTTTCCCACCTCCTTTCATGTTGTAAGCCAAACATGAAAGGAGTGTGGTCCACTTGAGTATTCTCACACTAGGGATGCACCATCATGTCTATAATATTAATTTTCAAATAATTATTATGTGCATAATCCATTCATTGCAAAATTATTCATGATAATCTCACTAATTAAAATTTATGACAATTATATAGTACTATTAATTAACGATGACCATTATAATTAATTGTTATTTACTCTATTGCAAATATATAATAGCAATAATATAAATTTATACATCAACGCTAGAATTTTTAAAAGATAATAATTTTCAATCTTAAGGGAGTTTTTCAAGCCCCATAGAAATGCAATTTGGAAATTTCTTTATTTGAGGATAGCATATGAGTCGAAGACTTGGCATCCCAAAATTTGGGGTCCTAAAAATACTCTTAGATTGAGTTTTGCCCGGTGAGTAAATAAAAAGTGATCACTTAGAAGCACGAAATCTTTTGGCTTAATCCCCTATACCCAATTTTTTGTATTATTTTAAAATATCTCATAATAATTATTTATTTCACAAAAGTAGTGTTTGAAAAATTACTAATCCAGGTCTGAATCACTTGATCAGAATCAAAAATTATATTGAACGATCCGAATCCTAAATCCTAATATCTCAGGATTTATATTGAACGATCCGAATCCTAATATATCAAGATTCAGTGGTATCCCCAAAATCGGCCTTTTTAAACTGGAATTTTTCATTTAAAAATAAGTTTAGTTGCCTACTTTGCTAACAGTCAGTACTTTTGTAATGTTCGTTGTAAGCTATAATAGTGGTGCTCCCACCCACAAACCTTCAATGTGGGATAATTGTTTTAGTCCTTTCTCTCTCATCTCGAGCATCTCATTGAGTTGGGTGATTAACCCAGGGGTTAATAAACTATGGGTGATTAATGCTAAGTTTATGAGATATTTAAAAGGAAAAGTAATACTAGCTATGGGATATTTAAAATAAAATAAAAACTAAATTATGGGATATTTAAAAAGAAAAAATAATACTAGCTCGATATTTGGAAACAAAAGAAATGGCATTAACTCATAGGGCATCTTTAGTCCATACGCTATCCATTATTCCTTGTTGCAAGTATTAAGTCATTTATTTTAGTTTCTAAATTTTATTTAAATATGATTGTAAAATCATGTTTTCAAGTTCTATATTTTTGTCATGACTAATTATTACACATTGGATCTATTTATTTATGAGGATCATACATTTTCTTTCTCTCTATTAAATCAAAAGGTCCAAAATTATTACACTTTTTTTTTTTTTTTCACTATAAATAAGAGGTCCATTCTATTGTAATGAGTTGCATTTTAAATTGCATTTTGACGACAACAAACACTCAAACATAAGACAAGTTCTCAGTATTTATGTATTTTTAATAAATAAAAAAACTTATAATGCAATACCTCTAATTTAAAAAAAACCTAAAAAAACTAGATTTTTAAGATATTTTAGTTATTTTTTGAAAAAATATTTACCCCGGATCTTGTCAATCTGGCCACTCCGATCTGAATCCGATGATCTGACCCGACTTTCAGGATGGGCTATCCGGGGTCCCAATCTATTTTTTTCAAACTTAGCACAAACAAATGTCTAGTAATTAATCAAATTGCATAAAGATTGCATAATGAGAGACATAATTAAAATAGCTTCTATAAATATGTATCCAACCTGTTAATGAGAAGTGAAAAGAAAGCAACCACATCTTCCTAATAGAACACAAGTAAACATGACGATCAACTACGTGCACAGCCGGTGTCCATCTCATCTAATTCTCCACCCCTTTCCAGTCATTAAATTATAATGGACTACCTATTAAAACCACGAGCATGGAACTCCAAATTCAACAAGAAGCTAAAATTAATGAGACAGTTTCTCAATCTGAAATTCTGGAATCTATTTCTGAAGCACTAGATTAGATCGTCAAATAAAAAATTGTCACTAGCTTGGCATTGTTAGAAATGAAAATTGGATAGAGTTTCTCAATCTAAAACTTATGAAGAAGGCCCTTGATTCAAACACCCAAAACTTTGTAAATTTCTCGTCAAATCTGAAACAATAATGCTCTTTAGGCTCATATAAAAGGGCACATAAGAAAACAAAAATTATATAAGGTTGCAACCTTAAAATATAAAATTAAAGGTACACCTCAAAATCCAGATAGGTTGTTTTGATGTTGGAAAACCTTTCAATTAATCATCTCAACTTTAAGATGTTTGAATATGGAAAAAAACTACAAAAAAAAAAAAAAAACCATGATTCCTAAAAATAATATAGACAAGCTTTCTATGCTTCCCCTAGAGCATAAAAATTCTATCGTCCCCTTTATCTAACCGTCCATTCTAAAAGAAAGGCTAAGATTGCCCCAATCACAATGTAATGTCTCTAAACTATTTTATTTTTAATTTTTTCTACAAAATATTTTGACACCAAAGTTTGGAAGTCCAATCCTCTATTGAACTCGTACTATCAAAAAATATAAAAAAAAATATTTTTAATAAAATAAAATGACCAAAATAACCTAAAATTTCATGAGGTATTTTGGTCATTATATTTTATCAAAAAGTATTTTTAATATTTTTTATAGGTATGCCCTAATAAGAATATGGCACATACCAAATTTCATATTTCATACAACTTGTATAAAAAAAAATTACAATAAAATACTATGAGATGTCAAATCTAAGATCAAATGGTGAGTGGCTCCCTTGATCGAAATTAAAGAGCTGGATGGTAAAAGGAAAATAGAACTTCTATGCTGTAGAAAAAGCATAAAAACATTTCCCAAATAATGTATCTTGAAACACATTTATCCGGACCAACTATTTTCAAGATTTTCAAATGTTTATAAATCTACATGATTTAAACTATTTTCAGAGAATTAGAGACGAAACTAGATTCTCAAAAATATTAAAATTACACCAAAATTATATTTAAGATAGAATTTGAAGGTGCCGCTTAATATGATTGTCTAAAGGTTGCAACCTTATACAAACCACATCTTCGTTGCTAAAATGCGGCTACATTACCGGAAGTTTGTTGCTAAAATGCGGCTACATTACCGGAAGTTTGGGTGCTGGAAATACTCGCCTCTACCAGAGGAAATAAAAACAAATGTCCACAAACTTAATGAACAAGAGAAAATCATGCATAGCAATCCAAGCAGTACGGTAAATCTCTTACCACTCACGCACAAGGTCGATCAGAATAAATAAAAAAACCGTATACCCATGTTTAGAAAACTGGTATAGATGGATCGTCCATCCACCAATCCAATCTTGGATGTCAAAATTGGCTATGAAGAAAACATTAAAAAAAACACAAAAGCACAAGACAGGTTTATGGGAAATAATTTTCGAAGATACCAAAGAAGAAACAGAAGCCATAAAAGGAAACAAAAAACCATCTTGTCGCCAAGGGATGGGAGGGGACCGAGCCGCACGTAAAGGGAGATTGTTCCACTAATTACTGATCCGGATTGAACAATTCCTGATCCAAAATGCAGTTGTTAAATTACCACTATATAACATTCATGCATGCCATACAAGGCCCCACACCTCAACCACATTGCCCAATCCGAAATGGAGTTGTTAAATTACCACTATATAACATTCATGCAGGCCATACGAGGCCCCACACCTCAACCAGTAGGTTGAGCCATAAACCACGCATCCAAATCCAAGTAGAGAACAAACAACCCAAATCTGTGTTGAGAAAGAGGGAGAGTAAACTTTCGTTGAAGGTCATTCACACTGTACATCCATCAATTGTCCAAATACCGCTTCTAAACACCACAGAAGCCATATTATGTCCCAAAAACAGAACTAGTCAAGCGAAGAAAACCGGTTACCTAAGATGGCTTCTAACACCATAGAAGAAGCCAACATGTCAAGTCAAACAAAATACAGTCACCCATGAAACCTAATCCCTTAGCCATTAAACCAAGAGACAAGGGGTGAGCAATATGTACAGACACCATAGTTTCAAGATTAAAGGCTCAAACCTTTTTGCCTAACCTGTTCAAACAGTCATCTATTCACAAAATGAAATTACTAACCAGTAATTATCCAGTTCTATGGTTTTTTTAATTTTCAACAAAAGAACATTGAGCTCGAAACATCACTATGAAGCTTAGGCAGCTCCGGCACAGGAACAGATCCAGCAGACGACACACCACTACCGCCACCACTGTGGCTCGAAGAAGCATCTGAATTGTCATCTGCAGCCTTCAAGAACTGCTGCATCTGAGAAGCAGCCAGATGGGCATAACTGATCGGAGCAACTATGACATTTCACAATCACAAAAACAAACGAGTCAGACACGAGCAGGTCAAATACAAATAATATAATAGTCCAATTAATCATAACAAACGATCAAAAAGATAATGATAAGAGGGTACAATTTACATCATAAAAGTCCAGAGAAAGTCTAAAACCAATGCAGGAAAAATAATATAACCACAGATTCATGCCCAAAGGACATTTTCTAAGGGTTGTGAAATCTCTGAGCCTCATGAACAACAACCATATAGATGGTGAATTTCCATTAGTTGGATAGGCCACAATAGCCAAAAAAAGCAGATCAACATTAATGGTTTTAAATGTATTATCTTCGTGACGTTTTACAACCAATCAAACAAGTAGATAAACAAAACAAAGACAAAAACAAAACAAAAAAACATCAATTTCATGTAATAAACGTGACAGTTTCTTACCCATAGATAACATAAAGAACCACTAAAAGAAAGCTGAAAGGTTCAAGAACATCAAGGCCTCATAAACAATGACCCATGGTATTGCTTGATGTATAGATATGTAAGGTGTTTTCAAAAGAAAAGGCACATTTATTCACAATGGCCAAGAACGACAGAGAAGAGAAAAACTATAAAAATATTTTTCGTGACATTTAGCACCCACTTGTCACAGCTAGTGTTTAATTGAGTCCAAACTTTATTTTAACACCACATATTACCCCTAGTTGGAAAGACAGCCATCATCATATTCGAATAACAATGCAAGCACAGTTTTACCTATGGATATGGCAGTTGTACTCCTCTGATAGCTGGAATTACAATAAAAAAGGAATAAATAGTTAGACACATTTCCAGCCTTACAAAAAACAAAAACAAAAAGGATAGGTGGTATGCATTTACGTGTATGACTTTATTACTTACACATACGATAGACTGTGCACAAGATTTTGCAGGTCATCAGGCCTGAACCCAATCTCGTCCATCAAAACATGATAATGAGCTGGCCTTGAAGTACCCTTTCGAGATGACAAAGTACAACATAATCAGCTAAGTAGCAAGTAGTAGAAAAAGATAAATTGAGAGAAGTCATTGACTTACAATTGGCCCATTGTGAGCACACATGTAGAAATCATAGTTTCGAGGATGACAAATCACAGAATCCACAACAGTACCTTCATATGGGAAAAGGCAAAATAAGCAAAAAAGAAAATATACTCGATTTGGTTCAAAAAGATTCGACTTGAAGATCCATCAATTATTTAAGAGACCTGGGGGAACATTAGTATCAGAGTCTTTCTGGAATAATTTTGTATGGTGATTCTTTTGTGCAATAATCACGGTAATTTTTGGCCTGTAACCGTCCTCAAGGTGGTTGCATGCCTGCAAATAATGAACACCCAAGGAGGCATGTAACCATTAAGTATGAACAGAACATGGGTACAGTTTCATTGAATAACTTCATGAGTAATTTATTGAAGAAATATACCTGAATGATCTGGTCAACTTCAATATTCAAGACTTGGGTAAACTGTGATTCGCTGACCCCATCCCTGAAACCAAACAAGCACAAGAGATGTCAATCATTTCTTGAAAATCCAGTGTGCGCTGAAAGTTGGGTGCCATAGTGACAAATTGAAACCAAACCCAACTAAATAGAATGCTAAACTCAGTAGCTTCTAAGTTGAATGTACATGGTGCCCAAGGGACTTCTATCAGCACAAACTTGATTAAGCTAATAGCATGCGAGTATCATCAATATTTTATATAACCAAGAAGAGACCATGTTTAATTCTGCATCACCAATAATTTGCACTAGACAATGAAATAATCATGACTCGCCACTGTGGCCAGAACATAAACACAAGCTAAACATTTGGGTGGAGAGCAGAGGGGGAGTTTGCCATAAGCAGCAGTTCTCCACAGTCGTAGTCCATTAAACCAACTCGACAAAAGGCACCACCCACACTTTACCAATAATACACAAATAACAATTACATTCCCTCACCAGCACAACCTACAACCATATTCTCTATATAACTTATACGGTGTGGTTTCTATAAGGTTGCAACCTTAAACAATCCAATTAAGGCGCACCACCAAATTTTATCATAACATGTAATTTTGTTTTAAAATATTCTTAGGATTATGTTAAAATCTATTTTCATATCTAATTAGAAATTTTTAAACTCCAAAAATGGTTAAAATCAAGTAGATCTATAAACATATGAATATCTTGAAAATGAATGATCTAGATAATGTGTTGCAAGATGCACTATTTCTAGGACTCAAAAAAACTTTTTTTCTTTTTTCATATTCATACGTCTGAATGTCGAGATGATCAATTAGAGATGGTTTTTTAACATTAAAACAACCCTTTTGATAGATTTTTGAGGTGCATCTGTAATTCTACATTTTAAGGTTGCAACCTTATATAAACTTTTTCCTTATTTATAATAGCAAAGACATTCTCCAGAATTGACCATGTCTAATAAAGGAAAAAAATATAGAAAAACTAAAGTAAGACGATTTAACTTGTAGCAAAGGTAAATGAACTTGTAATATGCAAATACAGTGAAATAAAGGAAACAATATAAAATAAGACCATTGGGCATAAGAAGGTCACAATCATCCCAATCGTTGGATGCAAAATCGGGTAGTCGAAGTTGCGCCATTGACTGGGCTCAAAGTCCAAGAAAAGTTTTCAAACTCTATGATACATCCTCGACGTTTTAGATTTTCACACCGGAAGGTTAGGGACAATTGTGATCTCCTTGTAACAAGGGTAAATAGGCACATAATATACAAATATAGAAAAAAAAAATTATAAATGCAAATGTGGAAAAACCATAATAGTATAACAGAGAAGAGGCATGGGCACGGATCCCAAGAGAACAGAGAAGTTTTATATTCATTTTGGAAAACCCCCAATAACATCATAGCAAATGATCCTTTTTAATTAACTTCACAAGAAATGAGAAAAGAAACGTGACATCAGAAAAATGAGCACGAGGCCATCAATTGCCATTCATTAGAGATCAATATCGAGATCAATATCAGCAATATAAAATGGCATCAATAAAAAAAGGGAAATTATCACAAATATACCTTAATTTTTGTCTATTTAGAATAAAAAAACCCTCAACAACCTATTCCATACCCTTTTTCTTCAATTTTGATCATTGTTTTACCAAAATAACCTTCACAGTAGTCCTATTGCCGTGAAGCCAATTACGATACTTTAATTACCGTAAAAACTAACCCATGTTATACGGCATTTTAAGTACTGTAAAAACTAACCCATGTTATACAGTATTTTAAGTAATGTAAAAACTAACCCATGTTATACGGTATTTTAAGTACCGTAAAAACCCATGTTATACAGCATTTTACCCTTTTCTGAAGTTCATATTTATCTCTTTCATCTCTTTAATTTTTTTTATGTTTTATCTCTTTTTTTTCTCTAATTCTTCTCAATATTTATCTCTTCTTTCTCTCTCTAAATCTTTTCTCTCACTAACTCTCTTTCTCTCTCTACTTCAACTCAACAGACACATTTCCAACGTAATACAAATCTCACTCTGTCTAATTTTCATAGGGGATAGGTTTGAAGGGAGTTTTTATAAGGGATGGTAAGGTACGCACATGTTGTTATACAAATCACCTTGAAGAGAGAAGATTTAGAGAGAGAAAGAAAGATAAAAAAGAATTAGAGAGAGCACGAAGAGATAAATATTAAACAGAATTTGGGGGAAAAAGAAGAGATAAATATTAAAAAGAATTTGAGAGAGAAAGAAGAAAAACATAAAAAGAATTAGAGAGATGAAAGAGATAAATATAAACAGGATGAAAGAGATAAATATAAACAGTAGAAAAGGGTTTACGGCATTTGAGTGCCATATAACATCGGTGTTATAACATGGGTGCCGTATAACATGGGTTTTACTGTACTTAAAATGCCATGTTACATGGGGTTAGTTTTTACTGTACTTAAAATGCCTTAAAACATGGGTTAGTTTTTGATATACTTAAAATGCCATATAACATTTTAACTTTTACATGTACTTAACCGTAATTGTGCTACACGGTAATACGACTACCGTGAAAAATTAAAGAAAACGGGTATGGGCGAGCTTCATGAAAGTTCAAAGGTTTTCTTCTAAATATACAAAAATTAAGGTATATTTGTGATAATTTCCCATAAAAAAAAGTACATATACATGGGCATGTGAGAACATAGCAACATGCACAAACATACATATCGCAACAAAAGCTATAAGTCCGCAAACCAGATAAGTACACCAAACTAAACATAATAATACAGAGTCTACCATACAGCTAGAAAAACAGCATTATGGAATATAGAGTTTTTTTACCCAAACATTTCAACATATGCAATCCAAGTTCATACATTAGCCAAAATTATACAAAATAACTAATATCCCAGTACAAAGTCAAAAGTGTTTGACATCTCGTACACTAACTAAAAAAATAATACACCAATTGCTTTCTCCTACATAAATATGCAGAATAATTAACTTCTGTAACAAGAGCAAGACTCCAGGACATTGTGGCAATTTATTATAAGGCACGAAAGCTACACAAGTCTGATCTCTACTAGAAACATGGCTAAATAACATAAGCACTACATGATCATATTTAAGAACGCAGCAAACTCACATCTATTCAGTGAAGAAATACATCATACATAGTAGAACAAAAAGCCATCAACAATCTGATTCAAACAATTAAGGGCACAGTTCACAGATACAAATAGAAAAAAGAGAGCACACTTTACAAGTGAAAAAGACCTGCTTCCATTGATTAATCATTTCAACCTCATGTTTCACAGAACTACACCACAAATCCATCCAACAAAAATAATCACAAATTAAGAGCTCATTCATGTAACCAAAAGTGGCAAATGACCAAAAACAATTTAAAATAAGTAATTAACACAAACTCTCATACCGGAAAACTATCATTTGCTCCGGCTTTCGCTTGTTGCTACTCACAAAAAACTCCACTAATGCCTCCCTGTCAAAAGCACTTCAATATAAGCTACCTTATCAATGGAACATGTGCATAAGAAACATTTCCTTGCTAAAGGTCGAAAAATGGGAAGTTCTAAACTGGAGGCTTGGACAAATCTTCTACATGGAGGTGGGACCAACTCAAGCAAAATCAGGAACCCAATGTCAGACCAGTCAAAGTGAGATGTACCCTAGACATAAACGCTTAACCAAAAATTTGTCAGTCACAAGGACCAATACATTTTATTGATGATTAAAATTTATCGTGTCAATCCAGAAATAAACTGAGACTTTTAGTTCCATTTGAAACAACTTCACCTGAACACCCTAGTCATTTATTCCTACAAACCTTAAAATATATTGCGGCCCCAAATAGCCATCAGAAAACACAGATTGTATGTTATGATCACCACTAATATAAAAATATACATCTTCAACGACCATCTAATTTTTTTATGGGTGTAGCATGTTTTACATTCATTCCTCATAATTACATTAACTAAGCACTTCTCCTAGTCCTTTTTTTAAAATAAATACTCATTTTACGATTTATATCTTAAAATTACTGTGAACAAAATACATTCTTCTTATATAACTCTCCACTAGATGAAGAAGTTGACACCAATTTTAAATTATTTAGTTGTAAAAAGAATGAAAAAATAATGGCAAAACTAAATGTAGTCTTTCATTATAAAAAAATAATGGCAAAACTAAATGTAGTTTTTCCAAAAGAAAAATTGTTTCATGCGGGCTGGACCGTATTTCTACATATGCGGTCAAGAAAGTGTAAAGTATCCATCTTAAAGATGGAGATGCAAGTAAATGTGCCATCTAAAAACAATGGAAACTAACGGTCCAAAAGTTTTCTTACTAGAATCATTATTTCTAGTTCTTTAAAATTTATTTATTTTTTCATATTCTTGATCTCCATGTTAGGGATTTTCTCCTTAAAAATTAATTCATAAAATCCATCTCCAAAATAGATTTATCAAGAGACTCGCATTTCTACATATGCGGGCTTGGCCGCATAGAAACCGGGTAGATACAAAATCATAGCATAAGTTTTTTACAAAATCAAATGTTCAGTATTCTTGTTTATTAGGAAAGCAAAAAAAGATTGAAAAACTAAACATAAAATCAGTCAAATATAATTTGACTGAGAGCCAGCCCAAAATCTCAAAACATACAAACTAAAAATTGCTAACAAACATATACAATCAAATATCAACATTTAAACAGAGAGAACTTACCTAATAAGTCCTGTGTCATTACCATCCGGCTGTGGTTTAAACATCGAATCAATCATCTCCACCTTTGGGGACTGTGTTCTAACAGAAGCCCTATACCTTGATATAAATGGCCAATCTCTCGAGCTAACGACCTATGCAAAAGCATTTAATAAAGAAAGATTCAACATATAATAACTTAAAAACAATGGAAATCCAAATCATATCAAATGAGCGAACACATTCAAATTGTACATCTTACAGTAAAATACAGAAATGAAAGGGAACAATTGAATATAGAAATGGAAGGGAAATAGGTACCGCAGCAATTGACGGAATATCCGATTGACCAGGAGAACCATGGGAAACATCCATACCCAGAATAATTGTGGGAATTTTGGATATAATAGGAATTTGCAGTGAACTTTCAGCAGCTAGCAAGGAGTTGATCCCACCCAACTGCAAGAAAGAAATTTAGTAAGCAAGATCGATTGCTAAAGGGTCGCAAAATCCAAGGGCAAAAATGTGTGAAGTGATAACGGTACCTTGGAATTGATTTTTAGAAGCACATTGGTCAAATATTGGTCATTGATTTTTGCAGGTGCTATACATTGGGTAGGGATGCCAAGGTCAGATAAAAGCTTCTTTTTCCATGGACCTTGTGTATTGGAAGACAGAAATATCCATCATAATGTGTATCAGATGGCAGAAGTACCCATCATAATATTACCCAAAACAGAACAAAGGATATAAGCACCCATCATATAAAGAGAAAACAGGAAAAAAAATGCAGAAAAAGAGAGAAGAAGACCTCAGAAACTTGGGGGGTTGGGTGCAAACGCACATAAAGAGAGAGAGAGAGAGAGAGAGAGAGAGAGAGAGAGAGAGAGCTCACCATAAATGTCAGAATTTTTCCGCTCAGGAAGAATACAGAGCACAAACTGGGGAGCCCCTGGAAGCTTGGACTTCATGTTTTCAAACATTCGATCAACCCTAACAGATGGATTAGGGCACCTTGCACGAGGATCTTCTTCAATCACACAGAAGGGAGGGGCAATAACCTGAAAGATAGAAATAACATCGTTGATAATCTAAAATGAGCCTCAAGTTGAATGCACAAGCCACTCAGAGGGAAAAAGAATGGGAACTTACAACGCCTTTCCTCTGACCAGATTTCACCATTTCATTTGCAAGGTAGTTGGTGTCACATCTAGCAGAGAAATTGACAATCACCCACCGCTCTATTCGAGTAGGTCGATGTAATTGCTGAGGAAGCGATCAAATTCAGAAACAGAATAATAAATAAATAAAAACAAGTATTTAAATCATGACATCAGCATTCAAACAAACCTTGTTATTGAAATTCCAGCGACCACCACGGGGCACAAAATCTTCCCCATTTCCAAATTTTAGCTGTAATAAAACAAACAGGGAAATAATATTCATTAGGAAGCAAATAGAAGTTGTAATTGTAAAGCAGAATTACCACAAAAATACCAAAAGAGGATGCACTCTCACACGTAAGAGATACAAAGCATGAGTGGTGCCATAAATCTTACATGCTCATGCACACCAATGAAACAAAAGCACACATGTGTCATATCTGTGTGCATGTGGATCCACAGGAATCCATAACTGTGCAAGCATTTGTATTCAAGTACATACAGACAATATATTTTTACAAGTGTGGATATGTAAGCATACATAAGAAATTGAAAGCAGGTTTCCTCAATGATTTACATTTTTCATATGCTTGTAACAACAATGAAAACTCTCAAGAGAAAAGGGTAGAAAGAGAACCTTTGGAGCTGACAGAACACGGCCTTCAACCTCAGTAAAATTTTGGCTGATGGAAACCCCAGCTGTTTTTAATAATGTTTCAGCATTGTAATTATTGAGCCTCATAGCCTGCAATTTCATAACAGTAATTATGAGGATCAAGCAATTGAATTATGCAATCAATAAAATTAAAGGAACGAGAGTACAGGAAAAGAAGCCCACATCATTTAGCACCCGCATGCGCTCCACAGGCTTTTGCCTCGATTTTTCAACGAGGTTTGATCTTTGAATTGTAGTGAGCGCCTTGGTGTAGCGTTGCAGTGGAAGGAGCACACAGAGCTGCAAAAAAGAAAATGGCATTCTTTACAGATGACCTAGAAAACAAGGAAATGGCTACCCAGTAAATGGAATCAACCAAGAAAATCGAACTTCAGAATATATATCTAGAGAAAAAAATTATTATTACCTCAACAGGGAGGTAATTGGGACGTTTAGGCCTCCCAACATCGACACAAGGCAAGTCCCCAGAATAATTCAATTTGATTTTCTTCTCATTGACAAAATAGTCATAAACAGTTACTTCAATGGTCTCATTACCACCAGGGCTATCTCCATTTCTGACCCTCATTGAAAATCTACAGCAAAAACACAAAAGCACACATGTAACACAGATCAATCACAGGTATAGACATACATGGATTAACCTACAAGTGTCCACATTCTAGAAAAAGTATATGCGACTAGTGTGCTTTGTTGCATGCAAAAAAGAAGTCGCAAACACATGAAGAAAATGCATTTTGCAGCCAGCCAGAATAAGAACAACAACAAGACATAAAATAATTGAACAAAAAAATCATACAATTGCTCTTTGCAGATGTTTTCACTGAACCCGGTAATCTTGAATTCCCTATTTGTGTGTCTCGTGGAGATTCTGATGTTCTTCAGCACACGCCTCGCCTGTATGTATCAAAAAGTATACATGGGCTATAAGTAGCTGCATTCCTATTTAGAACTGAAGTGTTGGAATTGAGCAAGGAGATCCATTCACCTTCTTCCAATCAATCTGGTAGGGAGTCTTAACATTCTGGTTAGCCAGTAGAAAATCCACCATATCACCAGGTTTCAGAATCATCGTTGTGGACACATCTAGGCACCAAGCAAAATCAGACATGAGAGTAGAGACAATGACGCTCCTAACATTGTTTGAAAAATAAGTAAGAAACATGCCTACCCATGTTCAATGACAACCCACTTTGAGCAGGACGGAAACTTGAATGAAAACCCCTACAACCAGTGACACCACCACCCAGGTCCGCATAATTTTTCGGATCATGGTGAAAGAATGACTGGCGAACCAGAAGACAACCCCTAGAAGAAGATAACAAGCAACCACAACTACTAAATACCCAAAGGAAGGGAGAAAGATAGTGATTAAATCAAATATTTTGTACAGAGGGAATTAAAAATAAAAAGAAACAAACAAACAAACAAAAGTTCATTTATTGCATACTTCTTTGCAGCATGCTGACGTAAGATGATGTCCAGGACTCTAAGAGCATCCTGAGATTTGTCAGTGGCATCCCCTCGAAGGGCTGCCGCAATAGATTTCAAAGGAATTTTCGCAGCATAACTTATCTCGACCTTGATAGTCTGGGTGCGACCTGGCCGCTTTTGTCTCTTTCTTTCCACCTCGCTGGGACTACCATTCCCACCCCTATGCACACAAGGACTAAGCATTCAGAAGCTCCCTCTCTACACACTCACACTCACACTCACACTCACACTCACACTCACACACATGAATGCACACACGCATGCATGCACACGCACACTCTCTAAATGTAAGGGCTGTGAGAGGCTCAAAAGACCAATAGCATGATTGTTACCTATTGGAAGCCAAATCCTCAAGAACAATTGTGAACTCCATGTTGTTTTGTGGAAGGGCACCCACTGTGAACAGGGTATGCTCTCCATCATAGGCAAGCTCCTTGCCGGAGAAGTCCGCTTTATATGTTTGATAGACTCTATCTAAAACCCTTCTACCAATTCCCTTGCCATCAACTGCTCTCTTTTCATCTGATGCAAGAGCAACCTGCACCCCACAAGACCAGTACACATAAAAGCAGCATATAAACCAAGTCTAAATATAAACTAAACCATTAAATAGCATCGAATACTCAAAAATACAAGAAAAACATTCTTCAAGAGAAGTTTTCTGATAAAACACGGTTAAACAAATAATCAAACAATAAGAACATCAGTTGAAGCACGAAAGAGCAGGTTTAAAGCACGGTTCTTACACTATATTGGAAAAAATACTCGTCAGATGAATTAAAGCTGACTCGGAAATGGTTGGTGAGCAAGCGGATACGTTCACCTGACGACCCCAACCCTTTACGCTCCATGGGGTTAAGCTTGGGAACTAAGCGCTGGGGGATCACATTAGGGGGCAATGGTGGAGGTGGGGGTGGGGGAGGTAACTGATCTTCAGTTTTCACTTCGGAAGGATCCATTTTCACCCAAAGCCTTTCAAAATGTACAGAGAAAAATATAATAAATAAAGGAGGTCTACTAAAAGAGAGAAAATAAAAACAGACAGAAAATTGAAAGGAAAAAACCAGAATGGAGGAAGTAATTCTTTCATCACTAAGTACTACTGAGAAGTCAAAAGTCACCAAACACGACAAAAACCAGAACTAAGAAAAAGCAAATAAAAACATTAAGAATAGATTCTACCTCCCACGATCAAATCCAGGCCCTTACACCAAAATAAACCTTTTGGAGAGGGTAATAACAATATAGATGAAATCAAACATAATAATACAAACATACAAAAAAAACGAACCAACAATGTAAACAAGCCAATAATAAGTGTTCTGCATGTATGATGACAGAATTTGTTTACTTGTTCACAAAAGCATTCCATGTTTCAAAGTCTGCTACAATGTATAATTAAAAGAGAGACAGAAAGAGAGAGAGAGAGAATCCACAAGACCATCTTTTCAAATATTTTAAAATAGTGAAAATATGGCAGAAAACAGGCAAACTTGGACAATAAGCAAAAAAAGGGGATTTCATTTCTTCTTCCCTGAAAAAAGCCAACAGAAGTTCTCCGACAAAAACCTCAGAAAGAACATGCCACCCCAAAATAAAAACACAATGTTAACACAAAAAACTAACAAACACGAACCAAACAAGCAAGAATAATAAAAAGATTCATTGCATAAGATATACAGCACATTGAATGCAGATAATCACCAAATAATTAGCACATACACATACACATAAACAGAGAGTAATCAACCATAGAGACAACAGAAACCAGAATTCACAAAGTAATAAATAATAAAGCTAATAACAATAAAAAAAAAAATCAGAATTCAATAAAACAAGACATAAGAAGAACAGAACAATGGTAAAATAGAAGAAACTATTCAACAGACAACCATTACAAGGGTGCAATAAAACCGATGGGTCAAACAAAAACACTGGCATATAGCATGCGATCCCCCAAAAAGGTAATAATCCACCAAAAAACATAATACTATAGAGACACAATGGAAAACTAACAAAATCACCAAGCCACCAATGTATTGACTAAATCAAGCATCTCGTGTGTGTGTGAACACACACACATACACACATGTGCGAAATTAATCTGCCAATACAAAACCAAAATAACCCACTACAAAAACAAAAAGTATACTCTAAAAAGGGATAAAAATTCAAAAAAAACAGTAACATAAGAAGAATAAGAGTATGGAAATCAAAATATATAAATAGATACTTCAGATAAATTATTAACAGTAAGACAAACACACAGTGATCATCCATTAGAACGTAGAAAGCAGACTACAGGACCGAATAAGAATCCAAAACCAAGAGAAGAATAACAGAGAAAACAGACAACAACGAATAGATACAGATCTTCTAACAAAAATGAAATAGCTTGAAACTGCTCTACACAGACAAGTGGTTCCACCATAAAAACACCCCGAGGGAGCCTGCAACCCTCAATCAACCAAAACTCATGTTATGACACTGATAAATCAGAAAAATAAGAACCACAACATCTCAACAGGATGAATTACACAGTAAAACAAGCATAGAAACAGCAGTGAGGAAACAGTAACAGGCTCCATAAACAGGGAAACAGGAACATGCGAATAATATGAAGGAGAAGAGCGAGAATCTACACTACAGAGAAACCACAGCAATCAACAACCAAAAATACAGAAAAAACTGAGATGAACCATTGAGAATGCAGAAACTATACACCGCACAAGGAACATGAGCGACAATAAAAGTAAGAAGAAAAAGGGGACACAGAGAAGGACAAAAATCTGCTTACTCTGCAAAAGAAGAAGAAAAAAGAATATACACCACGAAGAAACCCATCACACGAAACAAGACACAGAGTCATCAAGCATTGTACACAGAAACCATACTCCATAAACTCGTCAGATACAAAGGAAGCAAAGGAAGAAAAGGAAGAACACAGAGCGAGAAACTACTCTACATACAGAGTAATCCATGAAGAAGAGAAGCACAAAACACAAACTAGAGAAGAAGAAGACACATAAGAGCTAGAAACCATGCTACATTGCTCAAACTAAGAATAGAGAGACAATAAACTAAGAATAGAGAGACAATAAACCAAGAATAAAAGCAAATTAAGCTACTGACCTTCACTTGTTTACAGCGTCGAGATGAAGATACAACAATGCCGAACCAGAAGCTCAGTGGAAGCTCTTAGAGCTCTGTCTCTCCAAAATATGAGAAAGAGATAGACAAACAGGAGAAACAGGAGAGAGAGAGATGAATCAGTAGAGGGAGAAACTGTTTTTAGGGTTCCCTCTCCCTATTTCCAACTGATTATATAATCCCGCCAGAGTTGGAAAAAAATACCGCCGGTTTTGAAACTTTTACGAAATTGCCACGGGTTTTTAGATGAATGACAAAATAGTCATTACCATATTTGTGGGAATGTGACGAAAGCACCCCTACAACTCTGATAAATACGTCATGGGTACAGGAGTGAACCATTGATATTGGCACCCATATTTGGTGAGCTAGAGGTAGAAAATAATGAGGAGTTTTATGGGTGAGAACGTCCCAATTTAATGTCGTACGCCCCGATATGAGGGGCAAAATGGCTTTTCGATATTGTTTCCCTAGAGAAAAATTCGTGAGAATTCAAAAAAAAGTGGAATCCGATAAAGGAAGGCCAATAGTTTAGGTAAGTACGTTATATGCCACTAATCATGGCATGTCCATATTAATCTCTCAATAATTAAAAGGAAAAGTTTACATAAAGCCGAGGCTCTAAACAATCAAATTTGAAGCTCTCTCAAAATTTTATTGGAAGAAGTTGTTTTGATGCTCAAATATCGTCAAATTGATCATCTCGATATCAAGATGCATAAACATGAAAAAAAAAATGGATTTGAAGTTTTGAAAATAGTGTATTTTATAACACATTTTTTGACCGTCAATTTTCAAGTTTTCATATATTTATGGATCTACACTATTTTTGAAGCTTTAAGCTTTATAAATAAAGATGAAAATATATTTTGAGGCTATTATAAGAATTTTTAGTATTGAAACCATACTATTTGAAGATAGGCTTTAATTTGATTGTTTAGAACCTGAGCTTTATAAAACCGCACCCATATTTAAATAATACGGCTTTTACTCCTTTGATATGCAGGATAGGTTTCCAACTATGTTGGTTGTTTTTCTTTTCTTTTGGCTTTCGTTTTTTCTTTCTTTTTTTTCTTTCTTCTTTTCTCTTTCGTTTTCTTTTTTTTTTTTTTGTGCCTATCTAACAACCCCTAAAACTTGTGTTATCTTGCAATATGGAGAGGAGATTGGATGAAAATATAACAAATATTTCCATTTGTTTTTAATTTTTTTGGGTGAATAAAATTATGGTGTGTTGCAACCCTAGACAATCCAATTAAGGCGCACTTCCTAAATCTATCATAACATGTAATTTTAGTATAAAAAATTATTAAGATTATTTGAAAATCTATTTTCATATCTAATTATAAAATTTACACTCCAAAAATGGTTAAAATCAAGTAGATCTATAAACATTTGAAAATATTGAAAATGGACGGTCTAGGTAATGGGTATTTTTTTTTCATATTCATACATCTCGATGTAGAGATGATCAATTAGAGAGAATTAAAACATTAAAAAAATACTTTCCGATGGATTTTTTATGTGCATCTTTAATTCTACATTTTAAGGTTGCAACCTTATATAAACTTTTTCCATAAAATTATTTTTCATTAATTTATAATGATATTATTTTCATAGAGGATTGATGTCTCTAAGGAAAAAGTTAATATAGGGGTGAGACCCTAAACAATCAAATTGAAGAGTACCTCAAAATTTTACTAGAGTATGTTGTTTTCATGTTAAAAACCCTCAATTTCAATCATCCCGACCTCAAGATGTATATACATGAGATAAAGTAGATTTCAAGTCTTGGAAATAAAGTATGGACCGTCAGTTTTTAATATTTTCTCTAGTGTTCACATATTTGCTTGACCTACACTTTTCTTTCTCCTTTGAATTTTATAACTACAAGTGAAAATAATTTTAAGATCATCACAAAGATTTTTTATATTGAAACAATATGTTTAGACCCTAGGTGCGCCTCAGCCTTATACAAACCACACATTTCTCTCTCATTTCGCTTTGTGTATATCGACGATGAGTTAGTTTATTTTCTATAACGATCCTTCTATTCGTTCTATTTTCTTTAGATTTTAAAAGTTTATCCCATAAAAGCTTTTAAAAACAGTTTGTGATTAACCAGAAAACAAAAATGAAAAAGTTTATATAAGGTTGCAACCTTAAATTGTAGAATTACATAAGCACCTAAAAAACACATCGAAGAATGTTGTTTGAATGTTAAATAGACATTTAATAGATCATCTCAACATCGAGATCTATGAATATAAAGAAAAAAAAACAAGATTTTGAATTCCATAAATAGTACATCTTGCAGCATATTATCGAAACTGTCCATTTTCAAGATTTTCATATGTTTATAGATCTACTTGATTTTAACTATTTTTGGAGTTTAAAATTTTATAATTAGATATAAAAATAGATTTTCACATAATCTTAATAATTTTTTACTTCAAAACTGCATGTTATAATAAAATTTGAAGGTGCGCCTTAATTGGATTGTTTAAGATTGCAACCTTATAGAAACCACACCCAACATACATTATTTGACCTTTAAAGAAATGGCAAAAGATTTTATGCTCCCTAGAGCATACTATCTATCTACACCCTTAAGTAAAACCCAATTGAAAAATATTTTTAGGACCCAAAATCTTGGGATGTAATCTCTTCAACCCATAAGCTAAACTTAGCAAAAGAATTCGAAATCGCATTCTTTATGGGCTTGAAAAAAAAAATACCTCAAGAGTGAATAGAAACCAAATTTTGAATAGTGAGATTTAAGTTTTTTAAAACTTAAAATCAAAATGTTTTTATTGAACATAATCCTTTAGTGATTTTTAGGTGGTTACCAATATTTAAAATAAAAAAATTCTTCCCAAGTAAGTATCATGTCCGAGGGTGCAAAACTTTACATGATCGAAAGAAAAACTTTACATGATCAGAAATCATATAAATTTTTGGAAAAGTGATGTAACAAATATATTTGAGTGACACTTGATTGATAATTTTGCAAATATTTTGTATGGAGAAATTTACACATATTTTTTCATAAATTATTGTTATTTAAAACATCCCCTCCAAGTTTGTTTTTTTATGTTTGTACCTATTTTTTGGTTTTTATTTTTAACCAAATTGCTCTACTTTGACATTGAATGTCTAACTTTGTTCCGTAAAAAAACATTAAAAAAAGAAAACGAAAATCAAACTTTCATTCTTAAACTTGTGAAATTTAACTTTGTTTTCAAAAATACTAAGCCCAAAATAAACATTAGACTTTAAAGATCTAAAGTTTACTTTCAATAACAAACTTTAGACTTTAAAGGTCCAAACTCTATTACAGTATCATTATACATCTGACATGCCACCTCAGTCGTAAAATTGAAGATCACATGTTGCGCATCTCGTAATCATAATAGGGCATTGAGATTGCCAGTGTCATTGAAGAGACTAATGGTAGTAATTAAAATTAATTGCTTAGATTTTATTCCAATTTTTTTATGATGATTAGATGGGACATTTGTCTATAAATAGGGACTTGACCCCCTCCTTTCGAGAATAATTTTGGAACTTAATGCCCGGACACTGCCAGATCGAAGTTTGAAGCTTGTCAAATCCATATCAACCTCAGATTCGTAGGCTAAAACCCAACCTCATACGCCCAAATATCTGACTCTTGAATGTCCAAGACCCTCTAAGACCTCGTCGTCTCGTGATCGCCATGCTTGACAGATCCTAAACAACTCAGCAAAAGTAGTGCACTCGAGCTAATCTTGAACTGGCACCAACTCTAAGTGTTGGGCCTGGGAGCCCAGCTTTAGGTATAATTCACTCTTTTTCCCTTTCATGTATTTATTTTCTTATATTTCTAAAATCGTTTTTCAATAATCCTCCCCTCTTTTGACCCTGATTTCAAAACTACCTTCAAGTCACCCATGTCAAGAGTTAGGTTTGCCAGCAGGTCGAGTGAGGGAGGTGGCCTATCTCTTACTCGTATTGTAATTTGATAGGACCCATTACTCAACTGACATCATCTATGACGAGTTTGCACCCTAAAACCTGTTGGTATGTGTGGGTGGTCATGGGGCCTCACATGTGCCATTTTTTTCTCTCTTACTATATATGTTAATGTATTTTAATATTTATCACTTAAAAAGCTTATTGGAGAGCGAAGATTTTGTTATCCAATAGGTAGAAGATAACTAACCATCTCTCAAGAAAAGAGGGCCACGTTATCAGATATTCCATGAGGAAAGCCAAGTGTTGGAGAATGGCCTCTTTCTTTATAACCAGGGTGTTTCATAACTATGGAGAGGCACACAGAGAAAGCTTGAGTTCTCAATTATTCTGGTAAAACCTGATCTCTGTGATTCACAGTATCACGATACTGTTATCAATACCTAGGAAATTGGTGGGTTATCTATTCCCCACAAAAGTCCAACATTGGTATTAGAGAACTTGTTTAAACGACACTCTTGTTACATGGCCGGGTTATCTCTTGTAATTTACGGAAGGCTGGCACAATTTTGGTTGGATTTTTCCAGTTGCCTGAGTTTTGAGTTGCAGTCACCTAAGCTAGGTTGTTAACAGCAGGGGGGTTAAGCCTGTGCCTTTATGATAGCAAGAATCAAATTTCTAGCAAGCCTCTTTACAACTTTTTCGTTGTTTTCTTGTGCGCCCTGCAATCCGCGGATGCAACCTTGATTCTCGATGGTATTTTCTCAGCTTAAAAGGTTGGATTTGACATAAATTTCCTTATTGTTATATACTCTTTATTGACCATGGACTGCTGAAAATCAGTCGGTTTGCATCTTCTTTCTTCCATCTTTTGTTACTGAAAATTAGTCCATATTTTTATTGGATTATTGAAAATTGTTATGCACACAACGAGTAAAGGTCGACATATCAATTGCATACATTTTTTGTGGCTTATAATTTAGGGATTTTATACATATTTTATTTGCATCGTAATTGTTATTACCTTACATAATTATCCTATGCTTTGGTCTCTTTAAGTGAGAAAATTTCATGATCTTGATTTAGCGAACTCAATTTTTGTGATTATGTTATGCCATATTTTTTGTTGAGAATATCAAATATCATTATAGACCCTCTCTCTAGAGCTAAAATATAATCATATAATTACGAAAATTAG